AATGACATGGAAAGCATTATAAATCTATAGGGGAAGGAAGGCGGGGTAGGGGTCGTCCTCAAAAGGGGTTGGAGAGAGGGGGTAAAGGAGGGTTTTGTGGGCAAGGGGCTTGGATTTCCCAGCAAGCGTGCGTGAGCGTGTTAGATGGGAAAGTGAATGGAGACGAATGGTACTTGGGCCCTTTGACGATCTGTTGGAGTGTGAGCAGGGTAATATTTAGTGAAGGGATTCAGGGAAACGGTTATTTTCATATAGTCGGACTTGAGCCCTGGAAATTTGGAATTTACAATGCCTGCACTTTAAGGGGGGGTTTGGGATATTGGCAGTTTGGAGGGATATGTTGGGGTATCTTTTATGTGTATGCTTCTAGACTGTTGTATTCTGAGCACCTCTGCAAAAACAGTGATAATGTGCGAGTGTGGTGAAAGTGTTGAATGATGATGAAAGTATTTTCTTTTTGGGGATTTTCTTTCTTTTTTGGGTCACCCTGCCTCGGTGGGAGACGGCCGACTTGTTGAAAAAAAAAAAAAATGATTGAGGTGTATAAATGGAAGACAGGAATAAATAAAGGGGATGTAAATAACATGCTGAAAATATCTAGCCTAGACATGACTCGTAGAAGTGGAAAAATTCAGGTTCAGGAAGGATATAGGAAAGCACTGGTTTGGTAATAGAGTTGTGGATGAGTGGAACAAACTCCCAAGTACAGTTATTGAGGCGATGTTTACGCATTGGCGATTTTGCCCACTTTGAGCCGTATTTTCGGCCAGTTCCTGTGTACTAGTCGACAAAAATCAACTATTTCTCTAGAACTCCATTTTTTCTATTGAATGAGTACAAGAAACCACCCATTTACCGATTTCAACTATCCAATACAGTGGTCAGAATTTAGCAATTTTGCCAATTTCACACAAATTTCAAAAGATGCCAATTTCCAAATAGGGTCCAGAATAAACAAGAAAGACATTCCTGGCACTAAAATAACATTTCCTCTGTTCGTTAGTCACGTCCCCAGGCCCCTCTTATATTTCTTTGGCTTTCCACTTTCAATTTTTATTCTTAAAAAAATAGAAGATTTACTGTTATGCAGACTACTGCATTAGTGTAGAAATGGTATAAATAATATCAGCGCACTTGTGAAAGAATATTAGACTCACCAGTTGACGTGTATTAGATGCTTAGCATGGTTTGTTTACTTTTGAACTTTGGTAAAAATCGAACATTTCTGCTACTTTGAGCTCAATTTCAAGGTACTTTTCATTGTAAAACCAGTCAATATCATCTCAGTTTCTGTAATATGTCTTCCATTCTATAAAATGAGACCAAGAAAACTAGAATACAATAACAAATTCCATACAAAAATACAGCGCAAAGTTGCTGTTTTATTCCAAAAACACGGTCAAAGTTTTTTTTTTCTCGTTATGCACTTTGTGGTGCAGGATTTTTTTTATACTGTGCACACTGACCACATAGACTCTTTCTGTCATATGAAGGCCTACCAGCTTTCTCCCACTAGATTTGAGGGAGCTAGAATTTAGGCACATAAGGGGGATTACCAACAGACCCCTGGCAGTCTTCAAGCTGGCACTGGACAAGCACCTAAAGTCAGTTCCTGATCAGCCGGGCTGTGGCTTGTACGTTGGTTTGCGTGCAGCCAGCAGCAACAGCCTGGTTGATCAGGCGCTGATCCACCAGGAGGCCTGGTCACAGACCGGGCCGCGGGGGCGTTGACCCCCGAAACTCTCTCCAGGTAAACTCCAGGTACGTCAAAAACCCTGGGTCGTAAGCCGTATTAGTACAGTACGGCCGAAACCCTCAAAGGGTTAAGACTCGCTGGCCTGTGCTGGACTGCATGTTAGGGGTTGTTTTCAGTCATAAAGTCTGCCAGATTATCATTAGTATATGCAGCATCTCGTTTCTCTTTTCATATTCACTGTTTAAGTACAAATTCTTCTGTCTCACCCTCATCTGTTTTCTGCTTTTCTAATTGGAATTTGAGCTTTTCCAACATTTCTTCTGTAGTTGATTGGCATGCTTCATCCTATGACACTTTTATGTAGATTATTGCATCTGCATTGAGTACAGAACACTGGCATAACAGCTTCTTCTGTGCCCTCCATTGCTGAGATGTTTCTACTTGACCTTCCAAGTATAGTGGCACTTTAATGTCTCAGTCACTCCTTGATCCAATGGTTGTTTAAAAAATTGTTGTGTATGGTGGTAAGTTTATTTAGCTACAGGTACACATAAGTACAGTTACACAAATTTAGGTGACTGCAGTTATCAAACATAGTAAACATGTGTGTCAATTACCTAAGATAATCCATAAAAGTCAGACTGAGTGACTTATTTCTATTGGGGTTCTTGTAATATTTGGAATGACAGACTGTAAGACTTGAGTATAGCTACAGGAATCATTAAGAGTGAGGAGAACCTTGTATGAAAGGCTCACAATCATCAGGTATAGCTTCAATGTAGGAATAAAATGCTGTAATGCTTGAACCAATTAACAAATAGGGCTCCATTCATCCATGCTATCTTTTTAGATTATGAGATAATGTACAAAGAGTGATTTTTGTCTATACGTATCTTTTAAACTACAGAGATTCAGTAAGTGATAAATAATCATATGCTTTTGTTTGAAATTGCCTGGTGTAATCTCAAATGATACTTCACTGCCTTGAATCCAGGTACACTTACCTCTTGTTGTATATCATTGGTATTCAGTGCCGACAGGATGATTAACTAAACACACGTGCAACATCTGGGTGTCTTTACTTGATGTTTTGTCATCCAGTGGCTTTATCAATACAATACAAGGAAATAATAGATTTGTTTTTTTTTCAACGATCTGGCCATATCCCACTGAGGCAGGGTGAACTAAAAAGAAAAAAGTTTCTCTTTTTAAATTTAGTAATGTATACAGGAGAAGGGGTTACTAGCCCCTTGCTCCTAGCATTACAGTAGAAATATATACAGCAAATAGTGGAAGATGAGGTAATCAGTCCCTCAGCCTAGGAACAGGTGATGAGCACTAGTCTGGAAAAATCTAAAGGACCAATCTTCCTGCCTGTGCTTCAGATTTTTCAAGACGATTGTGCTCATCACCTGCTTCTAGGCTGAGGGACTCATTCCTCATCTTCCACTATTTGCTGTATGTTTCTATAATGTCCTTGTATTGTACTGATAGTCACTGGATGGTGAACTGTCTATAATAAAGATACCCAGGTGTTGCACATGTCTGATCCATCACACTTTCCTCCTGCATATTGATGCAAGTTCTAGTTAGCATCTTCAAAATAATTCCATCTTGTCGGCAGTAAGCACTTGCTAAGGTTTGTAGCCAGCCTAAAAAATAATTTCTTCCAATGTGAGAAGGAAAGTTTTCTGCATCTGGGAGTGACCAAATGTCTGTTCACTTGAAAATGGTTAAACCATTCAGAATTAAGTGAACATTTTCTGAAAGCTTTCTGTTCTGCTAGTGGTTTTTCATTTTTGCCTAGCAATATTTTATTACATGTAAACTACATTATCTGTATTCTGTAGAAAGAAATAAACTACATATATATGTATTTGTATTTGTATAGTCACTGTTTTCTTATTTCATACATTCCATAATTAATCTTATTTAACTGTAGTCTATTGAGTTTTTTGTCACATCTTTTAGCAGGCCACAATCTGGATTATCTTATCACAAGCTCTTATCATCTTCCCATTTTCTATAAGTGAATGAATTGCTGATTATTTAACTCCAAAGGCACGCACTCACTGTCTCCATTACACGTGCACCATTTTAAGCATATTTATTGCCTCCTATTTTTCGAAACAGATTTAGATTCATACTTATCCTTTTTTTGACATCTCAATCATTACTATGTTCCTCTTAGGTGCTATGGTTAATATCCAGAGATGAGATGGGGTAATAAAAAGATTGAAAATTGATTGATAAGCAAGAGGAGTAGGGTTTGGGACCCAGGAGGTACTCTATGAATGTGGGTACATGTTCATACAGTATCAAGGCAAGTGGCAGCATGGGTACATGTTCATACAGTATCAAGGCAAGTGGCAGCATGGGTACATGTTCATACAGTATCAAGGCAAGTGGCAGCATGGGTACATGTTCATACAGTATCAAGGCAAGTGGCAGCATGGGTACATGTTCATACAGTATCAAGGCAAGTGGCAGCATGGGTACATGTTCATACAGTACCAAGGAATAAACCTAGGTCTAACCTGAAACAATAGCCTGGTCCTTGGTGTGGAGGGTGAAATATTTCTCTTTGTGGTCGAGCCCGATTTTCAATCAATCAATCAATCAAGTTTATTCTCTATAAGGATTACAATGTGGGGTTTACAGATTTTGGTTATTGTGTGGTTTACACGTAATAAAATACTAATTACAGAGGGGGCCACTAGGACACCTAGCATGGCTAGGCATTTCGGGCAAACTTAGATTATTTTCCCCAGATTTTAAGGAGTGCTAAATATGAACTTGGGTACAAAATTTAAATTGTGATTTATTGAGACCATGAACAGTAGATGTGAGAAATGTGAGAATCTTCAGTATTTAATTTTTTAATTTACGAGGCCTGATCTAAGACTGAGTCATGGAGGTGATGATCCTTAACAGATCCTGTGCCCATGTGGCATTACTTAGGGAAAATGTATACCTCTTTTATTTTAGCACATATACGTCCAATACGTCCATTTAGCTGGTTAGCCAGACTCAAGTCCTGGAAGCGGGAAGTACAGTGCCTACACTCTGAAGGAGGGGCAGAGATATGTTGCAGTTTTTGGACTGGAGCATTGGCATGTCTCTGGCAAGACAGCAATGGTGAAGGAGTTTCTTCTTTTTTGGGTCACCCTGTCTTGGTGGGAAACAGCCGACATGTTAAAAAAAAATGAAAGCTCTGTTGCGTAAGATGTATAGTTAGTGCCATAATGCACATCAGCTGCCTATTTCAATTAAAATATTTGTCTGATTTTATTTATGTTCCCAGATGGATCTGTACTTACCTCCAGAGACTGTGTCACATCAACCAGACATCCGGCAGGTGAACATAAACCCTATCTTTCCGAATCGTACGGCGCTCTTTCATCTTCACAACATGGCCCATTCTCGGGCCTTTTTCTTCTCATACATCCTCCAGTCACGCTTCAAAAGACCAGCAGGTAAAATTCCACTTTGTTTTAATATTTTTTATAAATCAAATTATATTGGATGATTATCTTAATGAGCTTTTTCTTAAGGTTGATAATTGATGTGCAGTCAGATTGGCATATAATTTAATGTGCTGAAAATATAAATACAGTTGGACTGCTGTATCTGCAGGTCCAGTTTCCACAGTTTACCCTGGCCTGAAAATAACTCTTAATTTTGCTTAATCATGTATGTAAACAAAAAACGATTTATAGGGTTCACTATTATCCGTGGTTTCGGGTATCCACAGTAGGTCTTGGAATGTATCCCCCATGGATACAGGGGTCGTACTGTACAATAAACCTAATTCTATAACAGAGAATAGTGCACTAACACGTTTATCAATAAGTTTTTATGTCTGAGAACTTTGTAATGGTGTACAGAGTTTTATTGTGAGTTCTGTCTTAAGTATGTTGTTGCTATTTATTAATGATGTAAAGTTATACTATTTATCAAATATTCAGTATTACAGTACTGTCTGTAGGTATACACTAAATTGTATGTTAGGAAGTTTCATACAGCTGTACAGTATTCTGTGTGATATCCCAAGTGTTCAACTCTATCTAAGTAGAAACTTCATGAAAATAAAATCTCAAAATATACCAGAAGATGCAGAAAGTTTCGTATTTGATAACTGCTTCAAAAACAGTGTTAAAAATGCCCGAGTTGATGTAAATGTAGTGTACTTGCATTAAATTCTCTTTGAACAAACTGGCTTTATCCCATCGAGGCAGGATGGCCCAAAACAAAAAACAAAAGTTTCTTTTTAAATTTAGTAATATATACAGAACGGGTTACTAGCCCCTTTTAGTTGCCTATTACAACACACAGACCTGGATTAAATACCAGTGTTTAATATATACGTATAATATATCCTGATGGAACATTTGCAGAATTACACAGGTGCAGAGTTGTCTGTAATTGAAAATTGTTGGAATGAAATAGAAGCCGTGCTTCATTCCAAAAACACACCATTATTACCACTTGACTGAGGGGATAAAAAAAATATGGATTCAAGAACTGAACTTTGACTTTAAAAAACTTTCTGATTTTCTGCTGAACTGCCTGAAATTGTGTTACTATTGAATCCTTTGTAAATTAGCAGTGGCTTAATATTTGTAGTGTCTGTACATATCTATAGTACTCAGGCATCACTAAGGTCTCACCTTCAGAAACTTTACCACAATAGAAATAAATCACTTTGACTTTTTTGGGTTATCCTAGGTAATTTACACCATGTATGATAATTGTACTTACGTGTACCTGTGCCTAAATAAAGTTACTTACTAACCATGAAACATGGAAATGAAAGATAATTCTCAGTCTTATTTTTTTTTAACACGCCCATTTCCCACCAAGGCAAGGTGACCCAAAAAGAAAGAAAAACTTTCATCATCATTCAACACTTTCACCACCATTCATCTATAATTACCGTCTTTGCAGAGGCACTCAGATATGACAGTTTAGTTGTCCCTCCAAACTGCCAATATCCCAAATCCCTCCTTTAATGTACAGGCATTGTACTTCCCACTTCCAGGACTCAAGTGTGGCTAACTAGTTTCCATGAATCTCTTCACAAAATATTACTCTTCTCACACTCCAACAGATCTTCAGGTCCCAAAAACCATTTGTCTCCATTCACTCCTATCTAACACGCTCACGCACGCTTGCTGGAAGTTCAAGCCCCTCGCCCACGAAACCTCCTTCACCCCTTCCCTCCAGCCTTTTCAAGGATGACCCCTACCCTGCCTTCCTCTACAGATTTATACACTATCCAAGGCATTCTACTTTGTGCCATTCCATCTAAATGGCCAACCATCCCAACAACCCCTCTTCAGCCCTCTGACTAATACTTTTAGTAACTCCACACTTCCTAATTTCCACACTACGAATTCTCTGCATAATATTTACACCACACATTGCCCTTAGACACGACATCTCCATTGCCTCCAGCTTTCTCCTTGCTGCAACATTTACAACCCATGCTTCACACCCATATAAAAGTGTTGGTACCACTGTACTCTTGTACATTCCCTTCTCTGCTTCCATGGATAACTTTTTTTTTTTTTTTTTGCCTCAACAAATACCTCAACACACCAGTCACCTTTTTCCTTCATCAATTCTGTGGTTAACCTCATCCTTCATAACCCTGTCTGTTGACAGGTCAACTCCCAAATATCTGAACACATTCACTTCTTCCATACTCCCTCCCTCCAATGTGATATCCAATTTTTCTTTATCTAAATCATTTGATACCCTCATCACCTTACTCTTATCTGTTTAATTTCAACTTTCTACCTTTACACACCCTCCCAAACTCTTCTGCTAACCTTTGCAACTTTTCTTTAGAATCTCCCAAAAACACAGTATCATCAGCAGAAAGTGACTGTCAACTCCCATTTTGTATTTGAGTCCCCATCATTTAATCCCACCTCTCTCCCTAACACCCTAGCATTTACTTCTTTTACAACCCCATCTATAAATACATGTATGTTAAACAACCATGGTTACAATACACATCCCTGTCTAAGGCCTACTTTTACTGGGAAGTAATCTCATTTTCTCCTACACACCCAAACCTGAGCCTCACTATCCTTGTAAAAACTCTCTATAGCATTTAGTAACTTACTACCTATTTCAAACACTTGCTCCCCTTGTCACATTACTCCCCTTGCTTGCCTATTCTAAATCTATAAATGCAATGAAAACTTCCCTACCTTTATCTAAATACTGTTCACATATATGCTTCAATGTCAACACATGATCTACACATTCCCTACCCATTCTAAAGCCTTCTTGTTCATCTGCAATCCTGCTCTCTGTCTTATCTGTCATTCTTTCAATAATAACACTACCATACACTTTACCTGGTATACTCAGTCAACTTCTTCCCCTATAAATTTTAGTCTCATTTGTCCTCCTTCCCTTTATATAAAGGAACTATACATGCTCTCTGCCAGTCCCTAGGTACCTTCCCCTCTTTCATACATTTATTAAACAAAAATACCAACCACTCAAAGTGGGAAGTCTGAATGTGCGTGGATGTTGTGCAGATGATAAGAAAGAGATGATTGTTGATGTTATGAATGAGAAGAAACTGGATGTCCTGGCTTTAAGTGAAACAAAGCTGAAGGGGGTGGGAGAGTTTCAATGGAGAGGAATAAATGGGATTAGGTCAGGGGTTTCAAATAGAGTTAGAGCTAAAGAAGGAGTAGCAATAATGTTGAAGGATAAGCTATGACAGGAAAGAGGGACTACAAATGTATAAAATTTTTAAGGATTATGTGGAGTAAATAAAGATTGATGTGAAAGTGGGTTATAGTAAGTGTGTATGCACCTGGATAAGAGAGAAAGTGTAGAGGAGAGAGAGAGATTCTGGGGAAATGTTAAGTGAATCGTGGGGAGTTTTGAATCAAGTGTGAGAGTAATGGTGGTTGGGGATTTCAATGCTAAAGTGGTAAAAATGTTATGGAGGGAGTAGTAGGTAAAAATTTTGGGGTGCCAGGGTTAAATGTAAAGGGGGAGCCTTTAATTGAGCTATTTTTAGAAAGAAATTTGGTAAAAAGAAATAATATTTTTAAAAAAAAGGGGATAAATAAATTCAAGGTATGAGGGAGCACGAAATGAAAGTGTTTGTTAGATTATTTTTGGGTGGAAAAAAAGGTGATGGGTAGGCCCCAGGATGACATGTTTATAGAGGGGAACTGATATATCGGATCTTATTTAGTTTGTAGTACAGTTAGAGAAAGAGGTAGAGGGGAAAAAAAAGGGGAAGGTGGCAACAAAAAGTAAGAGGGAGGTAAAAAGTGTAAAAACTAGGGAGGAGGAAGTTCGGGGGGAGTATAAGCGACTTTGGCAAAAAGGGTGGGCTAGGCAAAGATGAGTAGTGGGGGGGCTTGAAGGGGGTTTGGAAATAGTTTTAAAATGCAGATTAGAATGTGGGGGGGGAAGTTTGTGGTTATGGGGGGTGGGGGCAGGAGGAGGAAAGAGGGGATGGTGGAATGATGAAGTAAAGGGTGTGATAAAAGAAAAAAAGGGTAGCGTATGAGAGGTTTTTACAAAGCAGAAGGGTTTTTAAAAGAAGGCAGGGTATTGGAGGAAAAAAAAGGGTGAAGAGAGTGGTGAGAGAGTGCAAAAGGAGAGCAGATGATAGAGGGGAGAGGCACTTCAAGAAATTTTAATGAAAAAAGAAAAAATTTTGGAGTGAGTTAAACAAGTTAAAAAGCCTAGGGAAAGTATGGATTGTCAGTTAAAAAACAGAGTGGGGGGAATTAGTAGATGGGGAAAAGGGAGGTATTGGTAGATGGCGAGAATATTTAGGGGAACTTTTAAATGTTGAGGAAGAAAGGGAGGCGGTAATTTCATGCACTGGCCAGGGAGGTATACCATCTTTTAGGAGTGTGAAGAAGAGCAGAATGTAAGTGTGGTGGAGGTACGTGAGGCATTACGTAGAATGAAAGGGGGTTAAAGCAGCTGGAACTGATGGGATCATGACAGAAATGTTAAAAGCAGGGGGGGATATAGTGTTGGAGTGGTTGGTACTTTTGTTTAATAAATGTATGCAAGAGGGGAAGGTACCTAGGGATTGGCAGAGAGCATGTATAGTCCCTTTATATAAAGGGAAAGGGGACAAAAGAGATTGTAAAAATTATAGAGGAATAAGTTTACTGAGTATACCAGGAAAAGTGTACGGTAGGGTTATAATTGAAAGACTTAGAGGTAAGACAGAATGTAGGATTGCGGATGAGCAGGGAGGCTTCAGAGTGGGTAGGGGATGTGTAGATCAAGTGTTTACATTGAAGCATATATGTGAACAGTATTTAGATAAAGGTTGGGAAGTTTTTATTGCATTTATGGATTTAGAAAAGGCATATGATAGAGTGGATAGAGGAGCAATGTGGCAGATGTTGCAAGTACATATATGGAATAGGTGGTAAGTTACTAAATGCTGTTAAGAGTTTTTATGAGGATAGTGAGGCTCAGGTTAGGGTGTGTAGAAGAGAGGGAAAATACTTCCCGGTAAAAGTAGGTCTTAGACAGGGATGTGTAATGTCACCATGGTTGTTTAATATATTTATAGATGGTGTTGTAAAAGAAGTAAATGCTAGGGTGTTCGGGAGAGGGGTGGGGTTAAATTATGGGGAATCAAATTCAAAATGGGAATTGATGCAGTTACTTTTTGCTGATGATACTGTGCTTATGGGAGATTCTAAAGAAAAATTGCAAAGGTTAGTGGATGAGTTTGAGAATGTGTGTAAAGGTAGAAAGTTGAAAGTGAACATAGAAAAGAGTAAGGTGATGAGGGTATCAAATGATTTAGATAAAGAAAAATTGGATATCAAATTGTGGAGGAGGAGTATGGAAGAAGTGAATGTTTTCAGATACTTGGGAGTTGACGTGTCGGCGGATGGATTTATGAAGGATGAGGTTAATCATAGAATTGATGAGGGAAAAAAGGTGAGTGGTGCGTTGAGGTATATGTGGAGTCAAAAAAACGTTATCTATGGAGGCAAAGAAGGGAATGTATGAAAGTATAGTAGTACCAACACTCTTATATGGATGTGAAGCTTGGGTGGTAAATGCAGCAGTGAGGAGATGGTTGGAGGCAGTGGAGATGTCCTGTTTAAGGGCAATGTGTGGTGTAAATATTATGCAGAAAATTCGGAGTGTGGAAATTAGGAGAAGGTGTGGAGTTAATAAAAGCATTAGTCAGAGGGCAGAAGAGGGGTTGTTGAGGTGGTTTGGTCATTTAGAGAGAATGGATCAAAGTAGAATGACATGGAAAGCATATAAATCTATAGGGGAAGGAAGGAGGGGTAGGGGTCGTCCTCGAAAGGGTTGGAAAGAGGGGGTAAAGGAGGTTTTGTGGGTGAGGGGCTTGGACTTCCCAGCAAGCGTGCATGAGCGTGTTAGATAGGAGTGAATGGAGACGAATGATACTTGGGACCTGACGATCTGTTGGAGTGTGAGCAGGGTAATATTTAGTGAAGGGATTCAGGGAAACCGGTTATTTTCATATAGTCGGACTCGAGTCCTGGAAATGGGAAGTACAATGCCTGCACTTTAAAGGAGGGGTTTGGGATATTGGCAGTTTGGAGGGATATGTTGTGTATCTTTATACGTATGTGCTTCTAAACTGTTGTATTCTGAGCACCTCTGCAAAAACGGTGATAATGTGTGAGTGTGGTGAAAGTGTTGAATGATGATGAAAGTATTTTCTTTTTGGGGATTTTCTTTGTTTTTTGGGTCACCCTGCCTTGGTGGGAGACGGCCGACTTGTTGGAAAAAAAAAAAAAAAAAAAAAAACCACTCCAACACTATATCCCTCCTGCTTTTAACATTTCTGTCATGATCCCGTCAGTTCCAGCTGCTTTACCCCCTTTCATTCTATGTAATGCTTTATGCACCTCCCCACATTCACATCCTGCTCTTCTTTCCCCCTACGAGATGTTATATGCCTCTAGCCAGTGCATGAAATTACTGCATCCCTTTCTTCATCAACAAAGTTCCTCAAAATATTCCTGCCATCTACCCAATACCTCCAGCTCCCCCTACTTTGTTTTTAACTGACAAATCCATTTGTTCCCTAGGCTTTCATAACCCGTTTTTCTCACGCTAAAATTTTTTCGTATTCTCGGCAAAATTTGTTAACAGTGCCTCTCCCACTATCGTTTGCTCTCCTTTTGCACTCTCTCTCTACTCTCTTCACATTTCTTTTAATCTCCATATTCTCTGCTTTTCTTACATAATTTCTGCTTTGTAAAACCTCTCATAAGCGACTCTTTTCTCTTTTATAGCACCCTTTACCCTCCTATAGCCACAAACTTCTGCCCCCACATTCTAACACTGCATTTTTAAAATTGTCCCACCTCTCTTCAATCCCCCCACTTGCACTAGCCCACCTTTCTGCCAATAATTGCTTATACTGTATCTCAAACTAACTTCCTCCTCCCTTAGTTTATAAACTTTCGCCTCTCTCTTACTTGCTGTTGCCATTTTCCTTTTGCCCCCATCTACCTCTTACTCTAACTGTAGCTACGACTAAATAATGATCCGACATATCTGTTGCCCCTCTATAAACATGCACATCTTGAGGCCTACCCATCAACCTTTTATCCGCCAATACATAATCTTACAAACTACTTTCATTACTTGCTGTATCATATCTTATACGTATACCTATTTATCCTCTTTTTCAAAAAAATACATATTACTTATTACCAAACCTCTTTATACACAGTTCAGTTAAAGGCTCCCCATGTTCATTTACCCCTGGCACCCTAAATTTACCTACTACCCCGTCCTCAACATTTTAGATCCCCAACCACAAATACTCTCTCATTTGGTTCAAAACTCCCCATGCACTCACTCATCATTTTCCCAATTCTCTTTCCTCTACACTTCTCTCTTCTCCAGTCTTATATGCTTGAAAAGTCAAGGTGTGTGGGAAATATTGATGGTTATTGTAAAAAATGAACAATAAAACATTGTTTCAAGTTCATCATGGAAATCAGAAGTCTGCAGCTAATCCTCGACTTTAAATACAATCTACATTACATATATAGCATTTAAGTACAATTAAGAGGCAAAATATATTAATACATTATTGCCCATTGCCCACATTTATTCAGTATGCTACTATACTACTGCTTGAATGCAGGTTAAATATTTGAAGAGGAAATTGGACTGCTGCCTCCATGTAGTGACAGATGAACCAGACTGTAATGGCTGTCAACCTTTGTTTAATGCCCAAAATGCACAGCATGTTAGTGGCTTTCTTTTGTGATTAACAATATTTTGTTACATGTAAAATACATTTTGTAATACTGCACAAATAAATAAATGTTTGTTTGGGCTACTTGCAGCAGGTCTGGTTGACCAAGCAGTCAACAAGGCAGCCTGGCCTCAGGTTGGGTTGCTTGGGTAAAAGAACCATTGAAATTAGTGCCATGTGTCAGTGTGTGCAAAGATTATAGTAAAATAGTGCCTACTTTAGTAGGCATAGTATTACACTATTCACAACAGACTCTTGATATATAGGCCTTTTTGAGGTGGTGCTATAAGGAAACTCATTTTTCAGTTATTTGCAACTCTAATTTTAAGATAAAAATATAGATACAGCATGTGAATAAAAAACAGTAAAAACAATGTGATTTGAAGTGCTTGGCAAGCTGGGAATTTTACTGAAGTAATTTTTTTTATTTTTGGCTGGAACCAAGGCACTGTCTTAAAGTATGTAATCTGTAGTAGAGGGGAGGTGGGATAGGGACTCCCTAGGAAAGGATGGAGGAGGAGATAAAGAAGGTTTTGCATTCAAGGAGCTTGGGCATACAGCAGGCATGTGTGAGTGCATTACATAGGAATGAGTGAGTGGAGGTAAATGGTTTTTGGGACTTGATGAGCTGTTGGAATGTGAGCAAGGTAATATATTTTGAAGGGATTCAGGGAAACTGGTTAGTTGGACTTGAGTCCTGGAGGTGGGAAGTACAGTGCCTGCACTCTAAAGAAAGGATTTGGGATACTTTCTGTGTAGATTGACATCTAAACTCTTGTATCTGCGTGCCTCTGGAAAGACGTTGGTAGTGTAAATGATGGTGAAAGTGTTTCTTTATAAGGTCGCCCTGCCTCAGTGTGAGACAACCAGCATACTATAAATAAAAGTACATTAGATATATTAGACCTGTATTCTTCTGTTTTAGCCTTGAAAGCTACAGTTATGTGATTTATGGGTTTAAATCTTCTGTTCAGTGAGTTGGATTTATGTAATTTCTTCTTTTCCTTACATTGCAGTAAATGAATCAGAGGGTGCTTCTGAGTATGATCCTGGCTTTATGTACTACTTCCTCTCAACTATAGCAGATGTGGCAGCAAATCCAAAAATTAATTCGAGTGCAGTCTACTTCCAACCCAATATGGCATTCACATCATCTTACAAAGGATTCTTCAATAAAACAATGCCTCTGTTTGCACCAAGAGCATTTAGGTAAGTGCACTACTCCTCCATTCTGAAAACTAGGGCTTGCATCTACATGAGTACAAAGTTTGGGCTCACATGGCTGTGAATGTGAGAAAGGTAAATGATGAGCCAAAGTTGAATATTTTTTTTTTAACTCTTTCAGGGTCCAGACCCCCAATCTGAAACTTGTCCACAGGGTCCAAGAATTTAAAAAAAAAAAATTGTAAAAATTTTTTATGAAATAGTGGAGAATCTTTTTCTGAAGGTAATAAAACAAAAAATATGAAATTTGATGGAAAATCGATGACATTATGCTCTCAGAAATTTTACTGTGTCCGCAATATTTCTGCATCGGCAATTTTGCCCAATTTGACTCATATTTTAGGTCAATTACATTATTCCAGTTGACCAAATTCTTAGCTATTTTCCTAGTATTACTTCTGTTTTATAGATTGAGCACAAGAAATCACCCAATCAACTATATCAACTACCCAATAAAGTGATCGGAAATTGGTAATTTGGCTAATTTCACACAAAGTTCAAAAATTCCAATTTCAAAATAGGATCCAGAATAAACAATGCAGGCATTCCTGGCTCTAAAATACCATTTCCTCTGTTTATTAATGTTTTCAGGCTTTACAAATGAATTCCATTTTTATTTTTTGTTCACATAATGAATTTTTATTCACACTAAAAAACAGAAGATTTACTGTTATGCAATATTATAGAAATTGTGCTAATAATATCAGGCATTTGTGAACGCATATAAGACACACCAGTTGACATGTATTGGATGCTTGACGTCATTTGCAAAGGATGATGTTGTGCTGTGATTTATGTCTGTCAGATGTGAGGATGAGGACAAGGATGGGGCTGAGTACTGTGCCTTCAAGAACACAACTTTTCACTGTTGCAGCCCCTAACTTATGACCAGATAACTGGTGATGGATCCACTAAGTCATGACCTAGAAATTCAGTCTTATACTTTCATTCAGTATACACTTATCCTTACTGTCTTTACTAAGAGGGGGAAATTAAGGTGCACAGCTATAATTCTTGTGTGATTTGGATTCTTTATATAATATAATTAAATTCATACAGTGCTATACCTTCTCTGCTGTGTAGCTGTATTTTTTTTTTTCAACTAACCGGCTATATCCCACCGAGGCAGGGTGACCTAAAAATTAAAAACTGAAGTTTCTTGTTTTAAATTTAGTAATGTAAACAAAAGTTTCTCTTTTTAACTTTAGTAACACATACAGGAGAAGGGGTTACTAGCCCTTTGCTCCCGGCATTTTAGTCGCCTCTTACGACACGAATGGCTTTTGGAGGAAGGATTCTGTTCCACTTTCCCCAGGGAGTGTGTAGCTGTATTAGTTCCTATAATTTAAAGCACGTAAATTGTACTTCCTAGGTAGTAGGTTGGTAAACAGCAACCGCCCAGGGAGGTACTACTGTCCTGCCAAGTGAGTGTACAACGAAAACCTGTAATTGTTTTACATGATGGTAGGATTGCTGGTGTCTTTTGTCTGTCTCATAAACATGCAAGATTTCAGGTATGTCTTGTTACTTCTAATTGCACTTAGGTCACACTACACATACATGTACAAGCATATATATACACACACCCCTCTGGGTATTCTTCTATTTTCTTTCTAGTTCTTGTTTTTGTTTATTTAATCTTATCTCCATGGAGAAGTGGAACAGAATTGTTCCTCCGTAAGCCATGCGTGTTGTAAGAGGCGACTAAAATGCCGGGAGCAAGGGGCTAGTAACCCCTTCTCCCATATAAATTACTAAATTTAAAAGAGAAACTTTCGTTTTTCTTTTTGGGCCACCCTGCCTTGGTGGGATATGGCCGGTGTGTTGAAAGAAAGAAAGAAAATTGTACTTATCATCTTGAAGTCAGGTGGTAAAATTTGTTGTTAGTATACCTTTAATGTCCTTATATATAAGGCTTAAGTTTGCTGAAAATGCTCTGCATAATCAGGGACTTTCTACATGCACAACCAAGTGCCACACTTCTCTGTACAAACATTATATCATGTGAAAGTAATTCTTTGACTTTGAAAAGTACTTATACTTGGTAATATAGGGTCTGCTAATGGCCATGGGAATAATAATAAAAAAAAAAAGTCAGAGTGGGTGAGTGTGGAATTGATTAGTTGACTGTGTTGGTATGGGTGTAGTATAATTCATAATAAAATTGAATGTAATACTATAGCAATTTCCTTGAAGGGAGTATATTTATTTATTTTTATTATCACACTGGCCGATTCCCACCAAGGCAGGGTGGCCCGAAAAAGAAAAACTTTCACCATCATTCACTCCATCACTGTCTTGCCAGAAGGGTGCTTTACACTACAGTTTTTAAACTGCAACATTAACACCCCTCCTTCAGAGTGCAGGCACTGTACTTCCCATCTCCAGGACTCAAGTCCGGCCTGCCGGTTTCCCTGAACCCCTTCATAAATGTTACTTTGCTCACACTCCAACAGCACGTCAAGTATTAAAAATCATTCGTCTCCATTCACTCCTATCAAACACGCTCACGCACGCCTGCTGGAAGTCCAAGCCCCTCGCACACAAAACCTCCTTTACCCTCTCCCTCCAACCTTTCCTAGGCCGACCCCTGCCCCGCCTTTCTTCCACTACAGACTGATACACTCTTGAAGTCATTCTGTTTTGCTCCATTCTCTCTACATGGGAGTATAGTACATGAATATTACCTGAATCTTCAATTCTACAGGATGGATGATTACAATGATCCTGTACATCTGGAGAGAATCTCAACGTTGAATTTCTTTCAAGTGGAGGATCTTGGAGCTATTATGCCAACAGGCGAGCGGTCACTTAATTATACATTAGAAGACTATCGTATCAATGAGTGGTACTATTCCTGGCTACCACATACCAATAAACAACAGGATGAACTCACTACATACCAGGTAAATTTGTTTCTTTACTCACAAGGTTTATATTTATGCATCAGTGGTAGTGAACTAAGTGGCCATTTATGCTGCAATTACTCAGGAGTCCGACAGATCATTAACTTAACCCTTAAGCTGTCAGCATCCCCTAAATTAAAAGGCCCTTCTGTGTCCACCTTTTTTAAACAATAATCTTCTAGTTGAGCCTGGCCCAAGGCTCCTGGCACTCATCAAAGGGTGAATGAAAGAGAATAATCTTATGAAGGTAAAGATGCCAAAATCACAAAACTCTGTACATTACTTAACAAGGTACAGATGCACAAAGTTGGTCACAGAACATATCTTGGTAACAGAGGGTGCTGCTGCAGTGTTCAAACTTGTTTTTTCTAATTTTCTTCTTTCATTTTTTTTTTTTTTTTTTTTTTTTTTTTGCAGTGTTTTCATTTATTAACACTAGGACTTGGTTTTTATGGATACTGGTTGTGCTGTTTGTTTTAGGACTTAAATCATCTTACACAAAATTCCACAGAAACAATTTACAGAATACAATAAATTGACATTTCTCTGTTTCAGTGTTTAACTGTTTCAAACATATTAAGAACATAAGAAAAAAGGAACACTGCAGTAGGCCTACTGGCCCATGCAAGGCAGGTCCAATTCTCCCACTGGCTTAAGCCAATGCTTTGACCTAGTCAGGGCAATCACATTCACTTAAGGGAGGAGCACGGCATCCGACCTAGTAGCACAAGCTAGTCAGGTCCAACTCACACCCACCCACACCCACTCATGCATTTATCCAACCTATTTTTAAAACTACACAAGATCTTACCTTCTATGACGGTACTTGGGAGTTTGTTCCACTCGTCCACAACTCTATTACCAAACCAATGCTTTCCTATTTCCTTCCTGAATCTGAATTTTTCCAATTTAAGACCATTGCTGCGAGGGTTGTCTATGCTAGTAGGTTGGTAGACAGCAACCGCCCAGGGAGGTACTACTGTCCTGTCAAGTGAGTATAAAACGGAATCCTGTAATTGTTTTACATGATGGTAGGATTGCTGGTGTCTTTTTTCTGTCTCCTAAACATGCAAGATTTCAGGTACATCTTGCTACTTCTACTTACACTTAGGTCATACTACACATACATGTACAAGCATATATATACACACCCCTCTGAGTTTTCTTCTATTTTTCTTTCTAGTTCTTGTTTATTTCCTCTTATCTCCATGGGGAAGTGGAACAGAATTGTTCCTCCGTAAGCCATGCGTGTTGTAAGAGGCGACTAAAATGCCGGGAGAAAGGGGCTAGTAACCCCTTCTATATAGATTACTAAATTTAAAATGAATCTTTTGTTTTTCTTTTTGGGTCACTCTGCCTTGGTGGGATACGGCTGATTTGTGAAAAAAAAAACTATATATATATATATATATATATATATATATGTAGGTAGTAGGTTGGTAGACAGCAACCACCCAGGGAGGTACTACCGTCCTGCCAAGTGAGTGTAAAACGAAGCCTGTGATTGTTTTACATGATGGTAGGATTGCTGATGTCTTTTGTCTGTCTCATAAATATGCAAGATTACAGGCATGTCTTGCTACTTCTACTTACACTTAGGTCACACTACACATACATGTACACATTTATTTATACACACTCATCTGAGTTTTCTTTGATTTTATCTTAATAGTTCTTGGTCTTATTAATTTTCCTTTTATATCCATGGGGAAGTGGATAAGAATCTTTCCTCCGTAAGCCATGCGTGTTGTAAAAAGTCAACTAAAATGCCGGGAACAATGGGCTAGTAACCCTTTTCCTGTAAAGATTACTAAAAAGAATAAGAAGAAGAAAATTGTCAAAGTGGGAAGTCTGAATGTGCGTGGATGTTGTGCAGATGATAAGAAAGAGATGATTGTGGATGTTATGAATGAGAAGAAGCTGGATGTCCTGGCTTTAAGTGAAACAAAGCTGAAGGGGGTGGGAGAGTTTCAGTGGAGAGGAATAAATGGGATTAGGTCAGGGGTTTCAAATAGAGTTAGAGCTAAAGAAGGAGTAGCAATATGTTGAAGGATAAGCTATGGCAGGAAAAGAGGGACTATAATGTATTAATTCAAGGATTATGTGGAGTAAAATAAGATTGGATGTGAAAAGTGGGTTATAATAAGCGTGTATGCACCTGGAGAAGAGAGAAGTGTAGAGGAGAGAGAGAGATTTTGGGAAATGTTGAGTGAATGCGTGGGGAGTTTTGAATCAAGTGTGAGAGTAATGGTGGTTGGGGATTTTTAATGCTAAAGTGGGTAAAATGTTATGGAGGGAGTAGTAGGTAAATTTGGGGGGTGCCAGGGGTAAATGTAAATGGGGAGCCTTTAATTGAGCTATGTGTAGAAAGAGATTTGGTAATAAGTAATACATTTTTATGAAAAAGAGGATAAATAAATATACAAGGTATGATGTAGCACGTAATGAAAGTAGTTTATTAGATTATGTATTGGTGGATAAAAGGTTGATGGGTAGGCTCCAGGATGTACATGTTTATAGAGGGGCAACTGATATATCGGATCATTATTTAGTTGTAGCTACAGTTAGAGTAAGAGGTAGATGGGAAAAGAGGAAGGTGGCAACAACAAGTAAGAGGGAAGTGAAAGTGTATAAACTAAGGGAGGAGGAAGTTCGGGTGAGATATAAGCGACTATTGGCAGAAAGGTGGGCTAGTGCAAAGATGAGTAGTGGGGGGGTTGAAGAGGGTTGGAATAGTTTTAAAAATGCAGTATTAGAATGTGGGGCAGAAGTTTGTGGTTATAGGAGGGTGGGGGCAGGAGGAAAGAGGAGTGATTGGTGGAATGATGAAGTAAAGGGTGTGATAAAAGAGAAAAAGGTAGCTTATGAGAGGTTTTTACAAGCAGAAGTGTTATAAGAAGAGCAGAGTATATGGAGAGTAAAAGAAAGGTAAAGAGAGTGGTGAGAGAGTGCAAAAGGAGAGCAGATGATAGAGTGGGAGAGGCACTGTCAAGAAATTTTAATGAAAATAAGAAAAAATTTTGGAGTGAGTTAAACAAGTTAAGAAAGCCTAGGGAAAATATGGATTTGTCAGTTAAAAACAGAGTAGGGGAGTTAGTAGATGGGGAGATGGAGGTATTGGGTAGATGGCGAGAATATTTTGAGGAACTTTTAAATGTTAAAGAAGAAACAGAGGCAGTAATTTCATGCACTGGTCAGGGAGGTATACCATCTTTTAGGAGTGAAGAAGAGCAGAATGTAAGTGTGGGGGAGGTACGTGAGGCATTACGTAAAATGAAAGGGGGTTTAAAGCAGCTGGAACTGATGGGATCATGACAGAAATGTTAAAAGCAGGGGGGGAATAGTGTTGGAGTGGTTGGTACTTTTGTTTAATAAATGTATGAAAGAGGGGAAGGTACCTAGGGATTGGCAGAGAGCATGTATAGTCCCTTTATATAAAGGGAAAGGGGACAAAAGAGACTGTAAAAATTATAGAGGAATAAGCTTACTGAGTATACCAGGAAAAGTGTACGGTAGGGTTATAATTGAAAGAATTAGAGGTAAGACAGAATGTAGGATTGCGGATGAGCAAGGAGGTTTTAGAGTGGGTAGGGGATGTGTAGATCAGGTGTTTACATTGAAGCATATATGTGAACAGTATTTAGATAAAGATAGGGAAGTTTTTATTGCATTTATGGATTTAGAAAAGGCATATGATAGAGTGGATAGAGGAGCAATGTGGCAGATGTTGCAAGTATATGGAATAGGTGGTAAGTTATTAAATGCTGTAAAGAGTTTTTATGAGGATAGTGAGGCTCAGGTTAGGGTGTGTAGAAGAGAGGGAGACTACTTCCCGGTAAAAGTAGGTCTTAGACAGGGATGTGTAATGTCACCATGGTTGTTTAATATATTTATAGATGGGTTGTAAAGGAAGTAAATGCTAGGGTGTTTGGGAGAGGGGTGGGATTAAATTATGGGGAATCAAATTCAAAATGGGAATTGACACAGTTACTTTTTGCTGATGATACTGTGCTTATGGGAGATTCTAAAGAAAAATTGCAAAGGTTAGTGGATGAGTTTGGGAATGTGTGTAAAGGTAGAAAGTTGAAAGTGAACATAGAAAAGAGTAAGGTGATGAGGGTGTCAAATGATTTAGATAAAGAAAAATTGGATATCAAATTGGGGGGAGTAGTATGGAAGAAGTGAATGTTTTCAGATACTTGGGAGTTGACGTGTCGGCGGATGGATTTATGAAGGATGAGGTTAATCATAGAATTGATGAGGGAAAAAAGGTGAGTGGTGCGTTGAGGTATATGTGGAGTCAAAAAACGTTATCTATGGAGGCAAAGAAGGGAATGTATGAAAGTATAGTAGTACCAACACTCTTATATGGGTGTGAAGCTTGGGTGGTAAATGCAGCAGCGAGGAGACGGTTGGAGGCAGCGGAGATGTCCTGTTTAAGGGCAATGTGTGGTGTAAATATTATGCAGAAAATTCGGAGTGTGGAAATTAGGAGAAGGTGTGGAGTTAATAAAAGTATTAGTCAGAGGGCAGAAGAGGGGTTGTTGAGGTGGTTTGGTCATTTAGAGAGAATGGATCACAGTAGAATGACATGGAAAGCATATAAATCTATAGGGGAAGGAAGGCGGGGTAGGGGTCGTCCTCGAAAGGGTTGGAGAGAGGGGGTAAAGGAGGTTTTGTGGGTAAGGGCTTGGACTTCCAGCAAGCGTGCGTGAGCGTGTTAGATAGGAGTGAATGGAGACGAATGGTACTTGGGACCTGACGATCTGTTGGAGTGTGAGCAGGGTAATATTTAGTGAAGGGATTCAGGGAAACCGGTTATTTTCATATAGTCGGACTTGAGTCCTGGAAATGGGAAGTACAATGCCTGCACTTTAAAGGAGGGGTTTGGGATATTGGCAGTTTGGAGGGATATGTTGTGTATCTTTATATGTTTATGCTTCTAGACTGTTGTATTCTGAGCACCTCTGCAAAAACAGTGATAATGTGCGAGTGTGGTGAAAGTGTTGAATGATGATGAAAGTATTTTCTTTTTGGGGATTTTCTTTCTTTTTTGGGTCACCCTGCCTCGGTGGGAGACGGCCGACTTGTTGAAAAAAAAAAAAAAAAAAAATATATATATATATATATATATATATATATATATATATATATATATATATATATATATATATATATATATATATATA